ACCATTTTTTTCACTCCAAGTTCTTAATGAAGTGAACACATTACAGGATTATTTCTGTTCTCTGTAGTTTATACAGTTTAAATAATGTTGCCCAACTTCCACAAAATATCCCACCTTAAGTCATCCATTGCACAGTTAAAAATAAATTTTCCAGGGGCGCCTGAGTGACTCAGTACGTTAAGTGTCCGACTTTGGCTCAGGTCATGATCTCATGGCTCATGAGTTTTTTGTTTTGTTTTGTTTTGTTTTTATTTTATTTTTTTTACAAATAGTTTATTGTCAAATTAGTTTCCACATAACACTCAGTGCTCATCCCCACAAGTGCCCTCCTCCATGCCCATCCCCCCTCCCCCCCACATCCATCAGTCCTCAGTTTTTGTCAGCATTCAAGAGTCTCTCATGGTTTGCCTCTCTCCCTTTCCCCCACCATTTCCGCCCTTCTTCTCCCCCTTGGTCCTCCGTCAAGTTCCTCCTAATCCTCCTATACATGCACACATATGATATTTGTCCTTCTCTGCCTGACTTATTTCGCTCAGCATAACACCCTCAAGGTCCATCCATGTTGCTACACATGGCCAGATTTCATTGTTTCTCATTGCCATGTAGTATTCCATGGTATAGATAAACCACATCTTCTTGATCCATTCATCTGTTGATGGACACTTAGGCTCTTTCCATGTTTTTCATGGCTCATGAGTTTGAGTCCTTGCGCCAGCCTCTGTGCAGACAGCTCAAACCTGGGAGCCTACTTTGGATTCTATGTCTCCCGCTATCTCTGTCTCTCCCACATTCATTCATTCATTCTCTCTCTCTCTCTCTTTCCCCCCCTTCAAATATAAACGCACACTAAAAAAATTATAAATAAATAAAGTTTCTATCTAGCCTTTAATAAGAACTTAAGTCCTTAAATATAAGACCCTTTCATTGGTCTTATATACCCACAAATGTCATTCAGTTTATGTCAGTTATTCAATTTGCATAGCTTGTTGGTGAAATTGGAAAAACATTGCTAAATTTCTGATAGTTTCCTAATATTTCGCTATGTTTGTTTTATCCACATTAATGTTGTCTCACATTACTCTTTTCTTATAGATGCTCAAAATCATACTGACTTGTTTTATTCAATACACAAATACACTGTAAGCGTTACCATATGAAAAACGCTTTGCTAGATGTTATAGAAGACAAAAAGACATATCAATCCTGGTCCCAGACTTCACAGTCCAGGGGAAATCAATATATAAGTAATCCTTATGTCCTGAAAGAGAAAACAAAAATCTCCCTGGTGAAAGAATACAATGGGAAAAGGAGAGATTATTCCCAGTTGTGGAAATTCAGATGAAAGCCAGTGTTTCCACAGGTGACAAAAATATTCTATGGAGAGGGAATTCCCAATACTGGCAAGCAGTATCTGTTTCACTGGGATTTCTGGTATCCATGGCCTAGGGAGGTATCTGGTGCAGTGTCATCTATCCAAAATCAAAATAACACATTTCTAAGAGCACTTCATTTATTTTGGAAAACCGTTTTTCTGAGTTTTCAATTTCTTTCTCTGTAAAGTACAGCTTTTCTAATCTATATTCATGAGAAGTTCTATAAGTTTGAGTAACAAATGGAATAATGTAGAAAAAAGCACTTTGAAAATTACTATTCAAAATCGCCGGCTTTTTTTGTCAAGCTCTTCATGTGTATTTAAGATATTGATATAGATTTTTGAGTGAAAGTTCTTGAGAAATAGAAAATCTAAATGTATTGCTGATGCATCACTGCTCATTATGAGAACACCCCAATTCTAAGGAGACATCAGAGAATTGAGACTTGAAAGTCAGGAAGATATTTGCTCTCCTGTTTCAGGCCCCAGTTAGTTATAAAGAAAGAAGGATGCCCCTTAGATTATTTATTCTTTTTCCTTCAAAAAACTTAAATTCTCCAAAAGAAAAAGGACTTAAATGGCAGGTGTTATCTATTTCCTCCCCAGCCTGTGTGGGGGTAAGAGATGAAGCTAAGAAATTTTGCCATTTGATACTAAAAAAATAGTCAACGTACATTTTTAATAGCCAACTTATTTTGAACAGCACACTATTAAGCATTATTTGAAAGAATATTAGTGTAAACAAATCAGAATCCAAGGAGATTTAGGCTTTACGATGTTCAGGTCATTCTCTTGAACCATATAACTACACTTGTAGCACTATATTTTATGTTCTCACTTCCAGGACTCCTTAACTGCCTACAGTATTCTACATTTTAAAAGGCAAAATGATTTAAATTCCTCCTGTGTTTTCCTGTTAAAACCATGTCTTCCCTAAAAATCATAGACTATTCCAATGAGTGATTGATGAAGTTACCACTTTGATGACTAAATGGATTCCAGATAATTAAGAAAAAAAACTCATCATTTTCTCATCAGTAGTTTATTGGTAATCTCTTAAGAAGTAGTTTTCTACTATTAACAAAAAGTTGCAAACTGACAATAAAGTTTGAAATCTGTAAAAGATAACCAAAATGCAATATCAAATCACATTCAAAATGGAAGCATGAACATTATAAACTTATTCAAATTCAAACTTATCAAGGATATTTGTGAATTAAAAAAATCTCAAGTCCTAAAAATAGTGAAATGTGACTGACCAAAGGAAAGATCATTTGAGATTTTCTCTTTATTCACTCAAAGATGATCATATGATATACTCCCATTTTCAGTAGAATATATTGCAGTAGGCAAACTATTTAAATATTAACAAGTTTTCATCAAATATTAACTTTAAACACATTAGAGATCATTTAAATCTAAGGAATACAATAACTTAAAATAATACAGTTATAGTGGCATATAATTAGTGGCACTTTGTAATAAGCAATTTCACTTCACATTACATACTCTAAATGGGAACAGGTTTAGAAAGACATTAATAGAAAATGTGACAATTTGCCTGAAGAGTATAAACTGATTGATGTTTTGGAACTTTCCTCAGACCTCACTGAATGATGTTCTCATTCAGGCAACACTAAATGTACTAAAAAATTCAAATTCACTTTTACAATTTTCAAGAAAGATAAATGAAAGAAAGGTCAGCAACCATCGTGGCTTAGAATTTAGGTTAAAGGAAAATGTTACGTACTTGTCAATGTTGTTTGTAACCCTGAAGGAGACAAATGTGGGCATAATCACTGAAAATAAATGAGCAATGATAAATATTTCCTCTTAACATTATCTTCCACTTTACAGTTTTGTAGAGTTCATTTGCAAGCTTTTTCACAAAAACACAGGGCTTTCAAATCAACTACTCTAGGAAAAAATACAGCCATATTGCTGTTGATACTTTAAAATGCAAGCACAGGAGACAAGATACCTATTATAATCTCAAAGATATTTAGCCTCATGTTAACAAAATTAAATAGGATTAATACATTTCATGTAGCCTTACTTTTAGAAAGCTTCATCTGTAATAATAAAAGACCCCATCTCACTGCCTGAGCTTTGATTCTGCATTAATTAAATATTTATTTATTTCCTCTTTTATTCTTAACCTAGTTTCTAACCCAGAGCATTAGCTTCATGTTTTTCCTTCTGTAAACTTTAAACCAATGCTTCTAATTACAGTAGCCCGGATATATATGCTGAGTTATCCAAACCAACCTAAAACAATAGAGGTCCACCTGATCTTGCCTCATCATAAGTAGAAAATAGGTCAAAGCAAAAATTTTTTTGTAGGCGTACAAACATTTGGTTCTTAATTTCACTGACACTGAGTTTCTAGGAAATAAGTATTTTTCTCAGAATTGTCTGGAGATATGTGTGTGACTTGGGCATTGTGTTAACACAGTAAGAAAGAATGCTGGTTCACTGATCTTTTTGATCTGAGATATCTGCAAAGCTGAGTCATTGTGATATTACAAGGCTGAACTTACTTCTGAACTAAATAGGTTAAGCATTTCAAATACAGTACTTGTGGGGCGCCTGGGTGGCTTAGTCGGTTAAGCGTCCGACTTTCGCTTAGGTCATGATCTCGCGGTTCGTGGGTTCGAGCCCCGCGTCGGGCTCTGTGCTGACTGCCAGCTTGGAGCCTGGAGCCTGTTTCAGTCTGTGACTCCCTCTCTCTCTGACCCTCCCCTGCTCGCGCTGTCTCTCTCTCTCTCTCCTAGAAATAAATAAAACATAAAAAAAAAATTAAAATACAGTACTTGAATCTTCAAATTATTTAATGGAAAGTCAACAATACCATGACGCAAGGCAATGTGTAATTAGCAAACATATGTTTCCAAGATATGCTTAACATTTCAAGTTTATGTTCTCTAACATATAAAAATATATATAGGTCAACAGAATAAATATAATTCAAAATCCTGCAGAATTTATTTTCCCATTGATCATGAATGAAAGCCATTAAAGTATGGAGTGTATCTATATCAGTGAGCAGCTTTGGTCTTCTTCACTTCTGGATCAGAATTTAGGTTTTTTTTCTCATGTATATAACTCAGATGTCTCAATGGCTTCTTCACATTTGTAAGTCAATAAATTACCTCAAATAATGTGCAATTATTTTTTTCCAAAATTTGACTACTAGAATCCTCTCCTGGTTGACAGTTAGTTATATGTACTCTTCTCATCTAGTATATATGATATATATATATATCATATATATAGTATATATGATATATATATATATCTTGTATATATGATATACAAGCAACAAAAAGCATAGAACAATATTGGAGATCCAGTAGAAGTGTTTACCTTTACATTTATGTCAGTGTTAATTTTGGCATCTATAAACCCCAGCCCATAAAAACAACTTTCCTCTATCCTCCTGTATAATGTATCCTATATGCCATGGCAACTTAAAGCTGGTGCTTTGCATGAACATTTAAGTATCCTCTAGACTACATAGCCAATTTAAAAATCTTTGGTGATAGACCATGCTAGTCTTGGGACCGATTGCTCCTAATCTTGTTCCACTTCCCATGTTCCATTCTTTATGAGAAAGACTCACCTCTTCATACATTTCCCAGGACCACTGTCAGTTGGCTTCTGGCTGCGTTGGATGGTGGAGACACTGGTGGGATTTTTGGAGTGTAGTGAGAAGGGAAATGACAGGTTATTCTCACCTTCATCTTTGTTGGGCAGTATTTTCTGTTTAAGCTTATATCTCACCCACTGTATTTTCAGCTTTGAAAGAATGACTCTGGTCCCTATTAGTACCAACATTTAGTCCTCCAATTTAAGGGTGGCAGTAACTTCCCACTTTTGCTAATCTCTGGGTTAGGTCATAGTCTCTTTTAAGATTTCCCCAAATCTGTATTACCTTTGTAACTAATTTCCAGAATTAAATACCTTGTTATAAACATGTTAGGTGGTTTCTTTCATCCAGGTTAGACTCTGATATACCAATCTTATACATTGTCATAGTCCTATAAAATGTTGACATTGTTTTGATCTCATTTTATATATCAGAATATTGATATTTGGAGATATTAATCAGATTTCTTAAGTCATAATTGATGATAATTGATAGCAGAAATTGAATATGAATTCAGATTAGTCTGCCTCTTCAGCAGTGCCTTTAAAAACAGAACATGTGTTTTGTATGATGCTCTGTATATTTATTAGACAAATGTCTAAACGTTTCCTTACCGGAACAAAGCCTTTAATGATCATAATATACAGCTAAAAGCAGCTTGTATTCCTTTACTTTGTGAGAGGGCCTTCTGAGTGACACAGGGTAACCATGTTTTCAAACATAACAGGGTGCTGTTCTGTGCACTGGAGCAGTGAGACCAGAGAGGACACTATGTGATAATCTAGCCACGAGCTCTTGGTGGGCTGGCCCAGGGTGGCAATATTGGGGTGATGGTAAGTATTCAGATTCTGGATATATATTGAAACTAGAGCCATCAGAATTTTTGGATAGATTAAAAGTGTCATTAGAGAGAAGAAACTATTTCCATCATTTGAGATGAAGAAGATGTGAGAGGAACATATCTACAGGAGTGCCATAGGTAGTTTTACATATTTGAAGTTATATTTGTACAAGTGCATTATGTTATTATGAAACTAATAGCTTTCAGGTGATAGAAATGTGTCTATCATGTAAGCACCCTCATGTATGATCGTAATCTAAGGAATTCAGAGAGAAGTTAACCCAATTTATAGTAAGCCACTGAGACAGAAATAACATCACTTTGAAAAAGTCACATTCAAAAGAGGAGCAAATGATCAAGGATGCACAACAAGTCGTGGATAAAATTCCTAAAGAAAGAGTCAGTTCTGAGGTATGGGCCTTCCTCAGTGGGGGCAGCCCCATCCCCTGCTTGCCTCACAGACTCGAGAAAGCTTGACAAAACCTATGGTTCAATGCAAATGAGAGATTTACAGAGTTTATAATTAAGCATAACTTATTTTAGACACTCAGCCTAACTTGTGTGTACATGTCTATTTTCTGCTCATTGGCTGTTGATCTAGAAAGCAGATTTTTGCCATCTTTCTACCACTTGCCCCTTTGTTGTTTCAAGCCAAGTTCTCAAATAGACAGGCAATTCCTTAAATACTGAGGTGAGTTTGCCAAAGGGTTTAGTGTAAAAATGAGTTCATATATAGTACATGACAGTCTATAAAAATGAAACCGGAGCAAAAAGAAAAAAAATGGTACATAAAGAATACATTGCACATGGCAATCATAAATCCAAGTTTGGGGCTCGTATTCCAGACACAGCATTGCTGCTCAATGTGTAACTAAAGCTGCAGTTTCACTATGGGTCCTTTCTCAGAGACTTCACTTTCTAAATTAAAGATTTCATGTTTGCTGTCAGTCCAAAGGAAACTATTTTTACAAGTTTCCTCCTTTCATTTTGATGTTTAAGAGTGTTTCTAATAGTAATATTTTTAAGTTGTATTTGTACTTTGATATTTAAAGGTAAGCTTATACATAGAAGCAGATTGTACCAAAATTTTAGAGAAACCTAGGGACTTTTTTTTTCCTGTTTAATGAATCTTTGTATTTAGTATTAGGAATGGTTCATTCATTCACGAAAATAATTCTTTGCTTTTAGAAGTTTGAGAAATCAAAGCATAAAGTAAGTTATATTTCCCTTTAAGGGACTTTGTCTCCCATCTAGAACAAATAATAAATGCCACTAAAGGTAGAAATTATTTCCAGCTGTTTTTACAGTGTGGGAAATAAAATTCATCTGGAGGGTTGTTTCCACTGGAAGGCCAGATGATGGGTAGAGAATTTCTTTACACTATCATTTGAAAGGCCTCAGGCATACTTCATTTAATCCGTGGGCATTTAATTCCCTTAAAACACCAAACAGGGACTTCTATCTACAAGTTGATGACTGTTCATGTATCTCCCATCGGTTTAGGTATGCAACAATGACAGTTTACTACTCAGACACTGTTTTACACATTGTTTGCACTACAATGGCAAACACATTAACAGTGTGAACTGCCACAGCCTATACAAAAAAAAAAAAAAGGAAAACATGGTAAAAACTAGTTATAGTAATGCTTCTGGTAATGATCATGGTAACTTATCAAAGCCTAATAAATATTACTTTTCCTCAGTGAAATATACGTATAATAAAAAAGTTAAAAATATTTGCAGTTATCAAAAAAATAAAGGGAACAATCTAATGCTACAAACCTCAAAATATGACAAAGGAAAAAAAGTTAGATCTTTATGGCGTTGTTTCTAACTTCCTTCCCAGGCCCCCTTGCTTACAGACATAAGTGGCTAAGAAATGTGGTTAGAATATAAAATATGTCCCCAAAAGTTAGTTCAGAGAGGAAACTAAACAGGTCTCAGAAGAAAGTCAAGGGGAAACTAAACAAAATATTTCAGTACAAAGAGAAAATGAGGGCAAATTTCTCTAAATATCATTCAAGTAAAATGATGTATGAAATATACAAAAACACTAGAATAAAAAAATAATTATTCAGTCTAGAAAAAATGAAAGCAAAGGAATAAAAGATATGTTTGACTGCTATTGTTAGAATATGTGGGGGCACCTGGGTGGCTCAGTCAGTTAAGCATCCTACTTCCACTCATGTCATGATCTCATGGTTTGTGAGTTTGAGCCCCATGTCAGGCTCTGTGCTTTGCTGACAGCTCAGAGCCTGGAGCCTGCTTCGAATTCTGTCTCCCTCTCTCTCTGCCCCTCCTCTGCTTGTGCGCTCAATCTCTCTCAAAAAAAAAAAAAAAAAAAAAAAAAAAAAAAAACAACAAACAAAAAAAACATTAAAAAGAAAATTTAGAATATGTGCCTTTCTTGCTGAAGGGAAACTCTCTGACCCTGGATACTTATGTTTTCCACTTTTGTCTGCAATGAACTTGAAAGCTGTGTGTTGAAGACCTAGAGTCCTCATTAACCCCAGACTATGAATACCCATATGGATTGCCACCCACCAACCTGGGACATCCACCCTGAGCCGTTAGGTAAATGGGAAATAAAAAGTCTCTCTAGTTTGAGCAATTGTATTTTGGGGTTTCTTTATTATTAAATCTAGTGTAACCCTAATTGACGCAAATGAAAATTTTGATCTTGGTATAAAGGAGAGCATGGCATATAGAACAAGTAGATAAGAACATGCAATCAGTTAAGAAACAAAAGACACAAAACATTAGAGTTTAAAAAATAAAATAAGGGGTCTCTGGTGGCTCATTCAGTTAAGCATGAGACTCGAATTTGGCTCAGGTCTTGATCTCATACTGCTTGAAACTGAGCCCCACATCGGGTTCTGCAATGAGAGTGGAGTCTGCTTGAGACTCTTCTCTCTCTCTCTCTCCCCACCTCTGCCTCTCCCCTCTCACACCCTCATGCTCTATCTAAAAAAAAGAGAAGAAAAAAATGTGATTTTAAAAATTACAAAGCTAAAAAAAAATAGGTGGAGTGCCAAAAACATAAAGAAGAAAAAAACAAAGAAGAAGAAAAGGAAAAAAAAAAGATGTGAAAAAGATTCAGGAATGGAGGAACTGTACAGAAAAAAAATGAAAAAAAAAATCTGATGCGGAAATAAATCCTGAAATAATCACAGTGAGAAAAGATCATAGCTGTACAATTCAGATAGTACTTTATTAAGAAAGTTTATGTTCCTGAAACAGAGAACTCAACAAATAGAATCAGAAATTACTCAATAATGCAGTTCAGGAAAAAATGACTGAAATGAAGGAAGGAATGATCTACAGGCCGAGTGGCATGCCACTTTCCAGGAAAAGCTTTCCATGTACAGCTAACAATGACTCATATCCTAATTATATTATTAAATACCCAGCATGAAGAAACGATTTTCAGTCATCCTGGAAGATAAATGAAGACCTTTACAGGAAGAAAAAAAATGACTTGAGACTTCCTTTCATAACATTCAACTTTAGAAAAAGTCCATGTGAACAAATTTCTGAGAGAAACTAAAAGGGGCCCAAGATTCCTTGGACACTGACCTGTTATTACTCAGTTACAAAAGTGAGAGATTTTATCAAACATGAAACTACTCAGGTAATACAATACCTACTGTCCCTCTGCGAAAAATAAATTCCTGAACACCAGACCCAGTCAATCAACAAATGAACCAAACTATAAAATTAACGAAGATGCTAACAAAGGGAACCAAAAATAAGCATTGTTATGTTTACAAAGTGGAGATGAATGCCATACCGTAACAATAAAATATAACGTAAGTTGTACAACTTTATGAGAAAGAAGAAAGTGTGAATATTATGATGTATTATGATGTATTTCTACTTTATTAGGCTGTCAGAAGTAGGAACAAAAAGATGAAAAGACAAAGCACACAAATTAGATAAACAGCCAGGGTTCACTTATCCAAAGAATGTCAAGGTCAGCAAAATCAGAGTGACAGAGAGGAGAACTCAACATATTCTGGAGCCAATGGAAAGACAAACTTCTGCACCCACAAATCTTCACAAAGGTTGCCAATAATAATTTTCTAATTGTGTGTGAGTCACTTCAGACATTTTCAGTCCCCCTCTTAGCCCTGCCTTGTATACACTAGCTTATATGCCTAAGCCTGGAATAGTGTTCATTCAAGCTTGTTGAT